CTCTCAAGTTTACACTGCAGTCCAAACTCCTAGGTCGCATGCCTGTCGCAGGGCAGAGTTTCTAACTGCAGTCTAGTCATCCACGTCGGAGGGCCAGGCCGTTTTSCMAAAAMAMAAAAAAGAAACAAGAAGAAAAAAAGAAAAGCTCGWGGCGTTGTATCTTTCYRTGATCTAGCGGAAGATTCACTCTCAGTTTCCACCATCGAAATGTGCAAAACGAGAGTGAATCTTGGCTAGAACATGGAAAGATACAGGGCCATGATTTCATTTTTTTTGTGCAACGGGGATACAGGGGCCCAACGAGATAAACCGGCCAGGCCGTTTTCCAAAAAAAAAAAGAAGATAAAAAAAAAAGAAAAAAGAAAAAGAAGAAACAAGAAGAAAAAAAGAAAAGTTGGTGGCGCTGTATCTTTCCATGTTCTAGCAAAAGATTTACTCTCAGTTGCCAGGATCCAAATGTGCAAAACGAGAGTGAATCTTGGCTAGAAGATGGAAAGATACAGCGCCATGATTTCATTTTTTTTGTGCAACGGGGATAAAGGGGCCCAACGAGATACACGGGCCAGGCCGTTTTCCAAACAAAAAAAGAAGAAACGAGAAGAAAAAACGAAGAGCTCGTGGCGCTGTATCTTTCCATGCTCTAGCAGAAGATTCACTCTCAGTTTCCACGATAGAAATGTGGAAAACGAGAGTGAATGTTCACTAGAACATGGAAAGATACAGCGCCATGATTTTACTTTCTTTTTTGCAACGAGGATACAGGGGCCCAACGAGATACACGGGCTGACAACAATGCAGAGGCCCTTAGGGTGGGACCCCACAGGCTGGCGGCCTGAAAAGCGGGCTGGAGGAAGTCGGCGGCGGAAGGCCAGCGCGACCGGAGAGCGATCAAAAGTCGGGACCCCACCGCCACCGCGAAAATGTGCTGCTGCGGGCCTCACGGTTTCCCCAACAGGAAAGTCGACCCCGAGGTCTCCCGAATAGGAAAGCAGGTCCGTCTGGCTGTGTTCCTGGGTCCAGGAGCGAAGGCCCCCGGACCGTTCCTGCTGCTCCAATGTGCGACGGGTTGGGTGACGCGGCACTGTGAACGACACAGGGTGCGCGACTGCGGGGTGTCCGAACGGCCACATTTTTAAAAGGGTCGCGGTTGCTGTCCCGCTGTGCTGTGACCGACTGTGCGATTTGCCGTTGGCTATTCGTGTCAGCATCCGCTGTGCCATCGCCGAATCAAGGAAAAGGAGGTAGTGGTGTATATTGGGGAAGACAGGGTAGGGACGATGTGCTGTCCTGTGAAGAAGAGTCATGGACGAGCAGTGGGAAGATAGATTGTTGTTTGTCGTCGTGGCTCTCATGCAGTGGGTGAGTCGTCGTAATGTGGGCGCCATGGCCGTCCTTGACACGACTTCTCTATTGCCAGTGCGCGATAGCGAATTGGCAATGTCCATGACGATGCTGTGCGGCGTCATCTTCCACAACCTTTCCATGTTGTCCACGTTGGCGGCCGGTGTAGAGGATCGCATGCGAGGCAGGAGGAGACTATGGGTGCTTGAAAGGAGCGGCGGTGTGTGGGAGGACCTGCAGCGCGAAGGGGAGCGACATGAGGAGGTGTTCAGGAGATTCTGCAGGCTGCCGCGTCCTGTGTTCAACGACATTCTGCAGCGTATCGGACCCCATATACAGCGAGCAACGACGAATTGGAGGCAGCCGTTGCCAACGGAGCAGAAGTTTGCTTGCGCGCTTATCAGGTGGGCAACAGGAGGGTCTTACAGACAGTCCGGTCATGGTCTGGGTATGGGACTCGCGAGCGCCCTGCGCAACAACAAGGACGTCGCTGGGGCGATGATCAGGGAGTACGGACATGTCTTGTCTTTTCCGGAGGGGCGTCGCTTACGAGAGGTCATGGACGCCTTCGAACGCAAGGGTTTCCCTGGCTGTGTGGGTGCAGTCGATTGCACACATCTGTACATAGAGAAGCCGCGGAATGAACACGCTGCATGCTACTACGACCGGACAGGGCAGTTCTCAATTATCGCGCAGGTTGTCTGCGATCACGAGTGCCGTATTCTTGACGTGTTTGTGGGTTGTCCCGGATCGTGCCATGACATTCGAGTCCTCAAACATTTCGACTCTCACCACCGACTACGACAAAGGGGTGGGTGTTCTGCAAGGCGAGCCAGCAACGCTTCGAGACGGGAGCAGCATTGACCGTTTTTTGTTGGGTGACGCAGGTTATCCGTTGTTGTCTTGGCTCATGACCCCACATCCTACCAACAGAYCTCGCACTCCGGAACAGGTGGTATTCGACGACATGCATACGACAACGAGGAGCTGTAAAGAACGCACGTTCGGGTTCATCAAACGCATATGGAGGAATTTTGGGCRTCGCCACATCAGCAACCTGAAGGCGATCTGTAAGCAGTTCATGGCATGTTGCATACTGCACAACATCCTGTTGGATTACAAGGTGGACATGAACGGTTTGGCCGGATGCGACAGCGACGATTCGGATGATGACTCCGATGAAGACTGTCCACAGCCTCCGCCCGACCAGCCACCCCTGTATGAAGGGGAAGTCATGTCGGAACACATAGCGGAAGCGTATAACTTGGAGGCGTCGAAGGCCATCAGGAGAAGGCTTCTTCCCCATGTCACCCATCATGCGAGAGTGCACGGCCCCCCGGATCCAAGTCCATGGTTGTGATGCCATCTTCGTACATGGGCACATACATAGATAGATTGGAAGATTGATAGGTAGGCAGTAGCGGAGAAATAGAAAGATCCCTCCGAGTCGTAGTTGGTTGTGGAGGAGTTGCGCATCGTTATTCGTTGTTGTGTGTAACGTGAGCGATAAATTTGTCGTCGTTCATTCGTTTTGTCTACAAGATTCCAATGCTTCCCACGTTATCAACTTCGTTTTGTTATTCTTCGCTTTCGCGTGCACATACCTAACTTTTCGTATGTCCGTGTCATGAAGCAACACATTGTGCAAACTTCGCAATAGTGATCCGTGCATGGAGTGAGTTTTCTTCAAGACATACATGGACAATGACAACCGAATCTCCGCCCAAAACATCAAGGGTTTTTGAAATCGATGGGGAAACATACAGAAAGTAAAATTTTAAAACATGCAAGGTGAGAGATAAATACACAAACCAAAAGTTGGACACATACATGGACAACGAATATCGAATCTCCGCATAAAACATCTGGGGTTTTGAAAGCGATGGGGAAACATACACAAAGGAAAATTTGATAACATGCAAGGTGAGAGATAAATGCACAAACCAAAACTTCAATACATACATGGACAACGGAAACCGAATCTCCGCTAAAAAGGTCTTCTATTCCAAAACGATCTCATATCATCCAGAGCACGTGTTCTTCGAAAAACAAACATCTCACAATCATGAAGATAAGAACATGAGATCGGACACGATGGCGGGCACAAGGCCGTTGTGGAGATTCGGCCTCCATACACCATGATCTCTCTCTCTCTCTCTCTCTCTCTCTCTCTCTCTCTCTCTCTCTCTCTCTCTCTCTCTCTCTCTATCTATCTATCTATCTATCTATCTATCTATCTATCTAT